AAATGGGATCGGATTTTGAAACATTTGAACTTTGATTACTATTTTGTTTCTTGGGGACAAATATTATATAAATATTTATATAAATGGTATATATAGATATATATATGCACCCACACATACAAAAGCTAAATGAAATAAAATAATAATTAAGTTTACTAATAAGTTTACATGTAAACTTAAACTATAATCCTTGTTTTGGGAAGGGATCTGACTCAGTCTCAGTCAGGACTGCATCAAACCGTACACTTATGAAGGTTTAAATAAATTAAATATATATTTGTCGTATTATACTCACAAGCTTTGTAGTATCAGGTACTCCAGATTTCTCCTTATTGTATAGGTTACTTACCTATAAAGAAAATAAATATTTAACACTTGAACATAAAATTTTCTTTTATCTTCCATAAAATTATTATTTCAAGTTGCTAAAGAAATAGTTGAAAGCAGTTGTCAAATACAAATTGTAGGAAAAAAATAACATTCTACAAACAATTTCAAAACGTAGTTGGTCTTCAATTCAACTATGTTTTCTTTGAAATTATTATTCAAATTAAATTTTAAAATATTTTGTTTGTTATAACAAATTGTTTTAATTACAAAGTAAGAGTATATTTTGTTAAAACTATAAGTAATGTCATTACACCTTTTAGTGGTAAAACCTTTACCTTTAATCAAAATAAAATTACATTGTTTTAATTTTCATCGGCTCTCCGAGGTAGAATAATAGTAATAAATCTTAGCACACAAATAAAGGAATGGATTGATAAAGAACATTTCTAATACACAGTACACATAAAATTTCAAAACCCGTCTTACATTTCTGGAGATAGCGTAAAAAAATATTGAATTATATAGTATCTAACATAATATGACTTATTGTAGGCAGATATCAGACTCAGAGTATTATAAGCCGGATAAGCAAAATGCAAGTAGTGTTCCAAAAGTTGATCGTCTCCTGGATATAACAAAAATAGCGAATTTATTAATTTTTATTAATTGACGACCTCGCTGGTCTAGCAATTTAGCACACCGCTTCACTTCTGATGATCGCGGGTTCGATTCCTCGAATCGTTTGAATATTTTGTATACAAGAGTATGATATTTTGTATCGATCTGGGGTTGTACTATATATATAATGTGTGTACTTACAAAAAAAATCTAAGCATTTATATTAATTGTATTTTATCCATAAGGCAAGCTATGCATAAACAATTCACACAACGACAAGTATATCGTTGTGTGAATTGTCCAGGTGTATTAGTATTATTATTAATTTTAGGAAGATTAACGGTGCAATATTTAATATTTTAATTATCCTTTCTTCTTTTAATTAGTTGATAATTAATTTTTAACATTAAAAAGTTTTATTTTCTACATACATTACTATTGTTGTACTTTTATTCTATAATTTAAAATCAGAATGACTTTCTTTCAATGACACTTATCCTTTGTCATATCATACATATCCGTACAAGCCCCATATATGTACGCAGTAACATAAAAGGTTCATGGCTCGATATAACAGCCCTAGATGACAAACGTTTTCAAGTTACAAGTATCAACAGTAAAAATCACAATTTTCCATCTGTTACTAGCTGCAACATTGCCGATAAGAGATAAGTTTGTTGTTTTGTCGAAATTTCAAAATAGAAGTTCAATTTATTATTCAATGACCACGAAAGCCTAAAATGGAGTATATAATAAAAATTGGATTATAATAGTATATTTATTCTAATCCATAAGAAACCAGCAGCCATAAAATGTCTGTTTATCAGCGTGTAATCGAAAGAAGGCCAAAACATTTGAGGTCAATGTTTTGAAATGAATAGCTTCTGCCACCGAATCATATGGACGTTTGTTGTATTGTGTTGCGAGTTCCATGTGAATAATTTGCATTGTGTATGGAGAGACAGAAAAAAATTCGAGTCACAAGATGCAATAGTTTGTATTTTTTACATTGTATGCATTTATATATTTTAGGTGTATACGTGATTGTATTTGCGAGGTAAAGTTACGGAGATTTAAAATTTGCTTGGTATAATTTTAAGAAAAATAAAAATTATCATTATAATTTATTTAATCTTCGTGCTAAAGACGGAGAATTTAAACCACTGAAACAAATTACATCTGATTTTTAAGACAAGCGACTAAGTAGTTATTTATTGATTAATGTTAAATAATTTTATTTCTTTGGCGTAAGATGGAAAAATATAAGGAAATAAATGCAGGTAAAAAAAACCTAGCAATAATGTTATCTTAAAGATCAATTAAACTTTGTTTATTATTATACTTAGGTACATGAAGTAAATTTCATTATATAAAAGTGAAGATTATTTTATATCTTAATAAACGTCTTCGGAATGCTCCTAAAATAAAATAATTTTAAGCAGCAAGTAATATAAAAGATTACCGAAATCATATTTTATTTTATTCAATTTTCTTCTCCTACATAAATACTGATCATACATATTGTTAATTTGCAAACATGAAAGTGAGCAAATTCTATAGTCACCAGTTTCACGAAAAGGTGAAAGTAGTTCCGACTACAATTCGAAAATGAGGTGACACTTTTGTGAGTACCCCAACTTCTTTGAACCATGTATAATTGCCTTATAGATGTACATAATATACTGTTTAAAAGAAACAAAAACATATTTGATAGCTTTAAAATGTGAATAGACCAAGTTTGAATAGTATATTCGTACATAAGTAGGGTTGCCACCTATAGCTATATAATTTAGTACAAAAAAATAACGTGAAATTAGCTTATTTAGCCATTCCAATTACATAAAAAGGTACATTAAATACATAAGAAAAACAAACATTAAGCATATAAAGCTAAAGAGCTTTATATATGGAAAGCTTTTCTTACTTAATGCTTTTATACTAAGCAATAAACAAGACTTTTCAAGGAGCATCTTTTATGCTGGAAAGCAAAGTATTTCTTTATCCTGCCAAAGTTTTAAATTGTGTTAAGAAATTTGTAAGCAAAACAATTAAAGTTCAAAGGTAAAGCAGGTTACGTTAATACATTCAAAATAATCTTACATGTAGAAAAGTATACATATATGTTTAACGCAGGTGCTAATAGAGTATCCAGGAAAACAAGTCTCGAGGCTGTTATCCTTGTACCGGCTCTTCCTAATGGTTTCAATTAATAAAGTCGAATAATAGATGATTCTTATCATTGTTCAAGCGATAATATTATATTATGTAACTGCTTTGCATCTTATGTCTTACACATTCTTAAAAGAAAATGACTATGACCTACATATGGCGTAACGGTAAAAATGGTTATGCACCTCGTAAATATTACGTTTCAAGTTTCATTGGCAGATTTTTTTTTATTGTTTTATTCTGTTAACTGACTTTTTTACATTTATATATATATATATCAAACTCCATGTGTTGTATTAGTATACATATGTTGGATATTAATACAAATATGCCGCTTGAATTTTTTTATATCTAACTTCTAATAAGTAAGTAAAAGTAAGAAGAGCGGCATGCGCCTAATACATGTTTTGCTATGCTAACTAGCTTATCCCAACACTGTGTTATTTGTAATCCAATTGTTTTTAAAGAAATAAACAATTTTTTTTCATTTTTATAAGTATAAATGCTGATGAACCACATTGTTATTGTTAACAGTGGCTAATAGGTAGACAGATCTATGTTATGAATATACCAATAGACACCTCTAATTACTTTTATTTAATCTGTGCTTCCAAATGCAATCCTCACACATAACCGCTCCCGAGGATTAAAGGATTAGTATATGTATCTAATATACTGACTGACCTTTGCTTCAGTAGTTGCGCTGACAAACTTAATCAGACGAGAATAAACTACAGAAATAGATAAGATGACGGTATGAGTCGTCTCTATTAGCAGTAAACAAATAATAAGATAATAACTCTTGTATATGTTTATAAATATAGAAATTGGTGTCTTGAAAGTGACTCAGACGATTCGAATGAAAATTTCAATTACAGTAAGGTTTTTAAGTTTATCAGTGACGTAGGATCTTGCTAACTATTTTACACAATGATATCAGACAAAGCTCCGTCTACTAAGCATTATATAAAAAGTTGAATTTAATTACAGTAAGTACCTAGATATCAGCGCAGAACTCAAGCCACTGGGAAAAATAACTGTAATCCTACAGGATATTGTAGGTAATAGGTAGGAAAGGTATTTGGAAATTCTCATTGGAATGAAGGATAATAGGATTCGAACGGGTGGCTTGGCAAGACGTTCCTTCAAGTACAGGTAAATAAATCTGCAATATAATATTTAACATCAATGACGCATTATATTACAAAATGTCGATTTAGTATATTTCTACTTAAAAACTTCAAACAAAAGTGATTTAATTACCAATTATTGGATTCAAAGGGGAAGTATGACATGATCAATTTTTAAAACAATAAACAGTTACACAGTGTAATAAAAACAACTACTTACTACTAATTGTATTCTGAAACCTCTTTTCGGCAATCTCTTGACAACTGTATTCTGCTTAGAAAACAATCAAATCAACAACTACGAATATCTTAAAATTAAATAGGATATCAGAAGATCCAATCTCAATATACATTTTAATTGAAGTCATTTTTGTCCTGTTTTATTGAAACTTAATCAAAACGAAACTAAATATCAACAACAATGTCACTGAATTCTGTCACTAAGCATGAAATAAAAAACTCTATACTATGTTATGTTATACTATACTATGTTGCTAGTAGATAATTCAATAATCTAAAAAACTTTTTAAAGGTGCAATCCAATATTATTATAGCAGAAATATTTTCCAGAGTAGATTTCAGACTTCTTGTAAAAGAAAAATAATTAGAATAAGCAAAACTTATATTAATAATTGGCAACCCTAAAAGATAACGGTTAGGTGTGATGTTACATTCGTTAGTTATTCTGCTGGTGGAGGTAGCATCTATTCTGTAGAGATTTTGCTGCGGTATAAACGAAGCGGGCTGCGCCGGCGCACTCAGTTCGTAATCATCCTATCGAGCGATAGCTTTGTCGAATCGTTCCTTAACATAAACAATGTTGCTCGCGTAAATAAATATGTGCATTGTCTAATTTATACGTGTTTGAAGTGAGAGTGCCATCGTTTTGATTTTGTCGGATGAATATACATTCCTAATATCATGAAAAGGTAAACTACATATCAGTTTGTACTAATAAACAAACATGTGTTGTGATAAATATATTTATTTCTAGGCCGTATACAAATATATTTTTTACACAGTCATCATAACGACAAGATAATATTTTTATATGATATCATTCTACTATGTTCACAGCCATGTGAACAGTAACAAAAATATTTACCTATAATTGTCCAATGAAAGACGTTTTGAATACTATACTATAATTAGAATTACCTTTTTAGACATTAAAAATGGTATATTACTAAAAACTATTTTTAATAAAATATTATACCATATTAACATAAATCTATAAACCGGGCCGATGAGGCAGGTATCTCAAAAAAAGAAAAAAAATAATGACTTCAAATTAATTATCATAAATCTATAATTCCGGCCCGTGTGGCTGTATCATATAAATACGAACTTAAATAAAACCAAATTTGATAAAGTAGGCCAAATATATATACATATTATTCGATTGTGGAACTCTTTACCTCACGAAATACGTGCCAGTTCTAGTATTGAAATATTCAAATGCCGATTAAAAGCGTATTATCATTCACAATGCTGACGTATTTTTATATTTAAATATTTAGGTATATATTATAATTTACATTTTAACTTATGATAATTTATTTATGTACCATTTATGTATGTCTATATATTTATATATTTATGTATGTCTATTTATACTTATAGTTAATATCATTAAAACAATATTTTAATATCTCCTCTTTTCGTACACGTATGTATGACTATTCTATTTAATACACGATCCTATAACATTTTCTAGGTTTGCTGGAAATCTCTTTTTATAAACATTTATTCTGTATAATTTTTTCTATTATGTGTGTGTGTGTACAATAAAGAATAAAGAATAAAGAAATTTCCCACTGCGTCTAATGTTAAATATAAAACAAATTTTATTGTCTATATATTTTAATACTATGTAATTTACTAATTAGTCACAATAGTTGTGATTAATAATAATAATTTTTATTTTGGAGAGACAGTAAAAAAATACTTAAGTGCCCTTTTATAAAACACTAATGGAACGTTTTTATAAACACTAATGCCAAAAACGTGACAGTAAACATCCAAGGATTCGCATACTGAATAATGATGGCGCGTATAAACCTGGCCATTGACTGTGTTTTTATTAACAAATTATACCTATGTAGCCATACATTTTATTTCTTTGACATCTAATTGTTGTCCTACGCAGAAAAACTAAACAGAATAAATCTTTTCAAGGACAAAACTATGAGGAAATCCTAAGATCAACAATTTTCCTAACATTGTAACGTTATTATTTCTTGAAGTAGTTTTGCTGACACACTGACACACGTGGTGTTATTTGACTATTATTATAATTACTTGTATTTATTAACCCGTTTTCCGTAATACCCCAGAATTTTATTACACATCAAGGGCAATTACTTACGGCCCACCTGATGGTAAGTATTTTCTGCCTCTTACAATATTGGTCAAGTCATGAGTGAATAGGCATTATTTGATCTTGTGCGTCGTAGCATCAGGTGAGATTGCATTCAAATGCGCTCAAATTTTTTGTAATAAAAAACAAGTCTTCCTGAAACCTTCAATTTTAGTGAATTTAAGTAAAACATACAAAATTAGTGCATTTTCTAAAAAACATATAATTTTTGTTATATTTTAATTAGTTTAAATGATTAGTATTAATTTAAATCAAAGTTGCTGTGTTTTAAAATAAATAGTGTATGAATTTAATGTATAAGCATATGTGGCTATAAAGCAAAAAAAGTACTTTGCTTTAAATTACAAGCTCAGAAAATTTCATGAGGTTCATTTAAGGTTATACCTACGGGAGAGTGTAAAGTATTATTTTCGATATTTCAATTTTCGGTATCTCAGTTTTAAATCCCTTGGGCGGAATTCTAATAAATCCTTTTCAGTGGTAGCCAACTTTCAAGTTTACTAAACGTAGCAATTATTTATATAAAATGAGAGATCATTTGTTTGTTGCCTCTTGGCCTCAAAGTCATTGTGAAATCGTATATTCACGTACTATTTGTCATGGAGTAGGACGCAAGTTACTTTCTATACCAGTCCCTTAATACATCACGGACATAGTCGTAGGCTAGCAACTAGTATTTTAGTAACAATTTCTTTCTCTTCAACAAAGGACGTTCTCATATACATTTGTCCGGCTGTCCTTTATTTATTTAGTTGCATACCTATATTTATATTTGTTAATTAATCCGTAATATATGTACATTGAATTAACATGGTTCTATAATCGCTTATAGACTTTTTCAACTTGCCAAAGAGAGAGAGAGACTCCTCTTATGTAAGGCCAAAGGAAAGCTAGTAACAGTAATAATAAAATATAATAAATCTCACTACATTCACACACGTAATTACAATAAAAACAAGTTCTTTGTTTCCTTTTATACAAATTTTATCGTACAATAATGTACTACAAATAAAAAGTAATTGACGTCAATATTAAACTCAAAATCGTTTATTCACAAAGGACCTCTTATTTTTTATCACTATCCCTATCGTCCAGTTAGGGTAGCTACTTCTGAAGAACTGCCAAGAAAAACAACTGGTACATTTGTTTCTGTTATTTTTTTAGTCAGTTGCGCTCTTTAAATTTAATATTCATTTATCATTGTATCTACTATAGATATTATTTCATTTAAATACAATAGATCCTACATTAATTGTGAATATTGATTGTATCAGATTATACACAATATAAAGGTACAATGTTGCATGCTTCTTTGTTATGTAATATGATAAATCGAGATGACAAATTTATTTACATGGAATAATAGTATCGATATTGTTATTAAGAAATCTAATAAATTAATAAATATCGTTAATGTTAAAATTTTATCCTTGAAATTGAAATGTTCCTTATCCATTTTATCTCGGTTGGATAACATTGAATAACACTTTTTATTTATTATTCACGTTATTTGTTTCCTTATTCGTCGTTGTTAATGTGTAAATGAGTACAATCTAAGGAAACACCTGAAAATACTTCCCCTACAGTACAATGCGATTGACAGTCTGACATCCTATAAGGTCAAGATGTGTTAATACAAAGGTTATTGATGTTTAACTAAACCTAACGAGCTATGTTAAGCTTGGGACGGGATGGCGCTGTGAGGATTGTCCAGTGTTAGGTATTATTAATATGTTTAATATATAGGTACAGCAGGTGTACTTTCTATACATACTATAAATTTTAAATCGCCTTGATTTAAAATATATAGTATTAATATTAAGGCAAATCGTTTTTTTTTCGTAATACGTTCACATGTAAACATGTCTATTGTTTTATCTACGAGTATGTTAAAGTTATTTTCTATTTCAATCTATCATCGCATTTACACCAAAAATATTGATTGTAAAAGTAAATATTACACACACATTTGTTTATATTACAATTTTTATATTTCTGAATGATTTACATTTAATGATGATTTTACATTTAATGCATTGGCATTAAATAATACGAATATTAAGGAAGAATTAAATAATATTGGTTTTTCGCGGAATAAATTAAAACTTGGGCGACTGTGAGAATTGATAGAGAATGACAAAATTTATTGCATAACCATTTGTCAATACGGCAACAATGTGATTGTACTGTACCATTCTTTTATTGTTCCGTCGATAAGCGAATTAATTATCCCAATGCGTCAACAATTCATAACTTAATTATTTCTTTCCCATAAACGATTGTAGTGAAATGTGAAAATGTTTTGCTGTTTTGTCTTGAGATTATTAACAACTGAGTCTATTGCATTAGGCAGTTATAGGCATCTTACTACGTTTACTACTACTAGAGAATATTGGAGATGGTGTTCATTAAAGTAGTTATATTCAGGGATCACAGATTTTTTAGACATTCTACCCTAGAAGAGGCAACCCTCAAGAAAGTCTAAAAAATCTTGACGTCATCATAACATATTCTATTTCTGTAAATGGCTGAGGTTCTATGTTCATTCATAATTAATCTATAGTAATGAAGTAGTCTATAATAAAGTAATACCTGTGTAAATTTTGACCAGATTTCGAATATATGAATAAAAAATATGTTTTAACTTAAAAATATAAAGTCTCTAAATGTTTAAAAAAGCAACAAGTAGGTTTCATACACAATCTTCTTGTGATGAGACAGCTTTTCTAATAAGTGATAGATTAAAACAATAAGTATGACTATTCAAAAGATGAAATTTTAAATAAATAATTTTCTACTCTACTATGACTTTATAACACGGAGTTTGCTCTTGTGATGGCCCTGTGATGGTAGTTGGGTTTGTTAGGATTATAATTGCGTTGTTTGTAGAATAATAACCTACATTACATTATTTGTATAATAAATACATTTTTATCCAGGGGAAATATCCATTGATATTCTACATATATGTCGTAATTAATTACATAAAAAAACTTGCACATGGAAAACTTTTTGACAAGTTTTATGTTTTACCAGTCTATTGAATAATACATCTTATTTTGGGTACCTATTCTTAATTTTAACGATTTGCGGCATCATAATATTTAGTAGGTAAGTCATAGCTAGTATGTACTAGTAAATTCTATATGAATGCATTTGAACTATTTACATTTATTGTAGCTATAGATCAGTTAAAATGTTTGCATTAGATTTTAATTCAAATCGTATACGGAAATAACAGATTTCTATGCATGTTTTAAGGCTATATACAAAAATTAGATTTCCTTAGATCAAGGTAATATTCAATTACCTAAGTCACTATTATTTATTATTACTAAAATAGCTTTAGCTACCTTGGACGGCGTAAATAGAAGTGAAAAATATTCGCAATCAGCCTATGTACATTATAATGAAGGCAATAGTTTCGTCACGAAGATGAGTAAAATAAAACTTAAGTATTTTTTTATTAACCTGATGGTGATATCATACAAAGAATTTTTTATTTTGCACCATTTTCTTTAAGAACTAGGCATATTGGAAATATTTTAT